GGAGTACTTCCAAGCCGATTCAGTTTCCGGGGCCTTCATGAGAATCAGAGATATTTGAGTCCTCTTTCAATAACATCCGAGATCAGTCAATTCTGAGCTTTGAGCAGAAAGATACGGTCTCCGGAATGGACACATGTATAAACGGCTCTCTCTGATCGTGTAAATGCATTGTAAAGATGAGCCCTCCAGGAAGCCTTCCACTTCCCAAGAACCGAAGCTTCCTTCATAAAAGTTGGATTCAAATGAGTCCTCTGTATTCTGCAACCGGAACCACTCAATTCGGACACGTCTCCAGGAAGTTACACTCTCCGGAACGTGAGATGGTCCAGACAGCCCAGAATGACTAAGTTAAACATGCCGCGATGGAATGCCACGGTCCACACTTGGCCGTGGCAACTTTCACACACCCTCGGCGAATGACACGATCTTCATGCCATGGTCTACACTTGACCGTGGCAAACACACACTTGGCTGAGAAGAACTTAGCAACCATTCGGCGATTGACACGGCCTAAATGCCACGGTCTGAGGCTTGACCGTGGCAACTTCTTGCAACCTTCGGCGATTGGCACGAGCTGAATGCCACGGTCTGGGACTTGACCGTGGCAAATGAACAATTGGCTGGAGGCAACTTTTACACATCTTCGGCGTTTGACATGGTGACTTGCCACGAGTTCCAGATGAAGCTTGATCAGACCGTGGCATCAAAAGGAACCAAGAACACAAGTGAAGGCTTTGACACGGTCAGGATTGCCACGGTCACACCAAGAACACACCAGACCGTGGCAAACCCATACTTGCCCATCAAGGCCGGGTCAGTACCCGGTTTGTTCCGGGTTGACCCGGTTCGCCCAAGCCTCCTTTATAAGGTTTTTAGACCTAATTTGTAGAGAACCTTTAATCTACTTTTAGTCTTCTTTCCCCTTTGCTGAAAACCTACTTAATACACTTTGTTTTAGAGAGCTTAATATCGATTTTGAAGTTTCTTTTTATCCTGTTTCATCATTTCTTATCATCAAATCAAACTTCTAATCATGATTAACAACACATCCTGCAAAGGATTTAGTGTGTTGATCATGATTAGTGAGTAGTCACCTTAATGAGGTTCTAGATGTGTAGGTTAGGGTGCTAAAGTGTTAGATTAGGGGTGCTTAGGGCTAGATTCATTGATTCATTTCTCTAAACAACTGTTCTCTATGCTAGATCCTTGATAATCACTTGAGATATCTAGATTCTGGGAATTTCATGCACCAAAAGTGTTTGATGAAATTCCTGAAAGAGTTGTATCAGAGGTTTAAGCATTTTTCTGCATGATGATGTATTGTTATTTGCTTGAATGATCATTGAGAACTGTTTATTAATGCATATTGATTCATATTTCACAAACGGGAATTTGGTTTGAAAATGGATTAGTATAGGGGTTAATACCTTCATGAGAGGATTAACCTAGATTAGAGTTCTTAATCATTTGAATCATGTCTCATCATTGTCATTAGCATTTCTAGTTTAGCACCAAAGCACCCTAACCAACTATCATGTCTAGAATCTCATGCCTCCATCATATCATATTCACATCATTTGTCATTGCTTAGTTCTTGTTTTGTCAATTGTCATTAGTCTTTAATCTTGTTTATGTTTGTAGTTGTCCCTTGATTAATCAAAACCCACTCTTGTTTACTTGAATTAAGAACTTGATCATATAGCTTAGTGTCTATCACCACATTCTTGGATTGATTAACCTCTTTGTGCTACTTTGACAAGGGGATTGATAGCCCTGAGACCATAAAAAGTCTTGTCTATCAAGTACCTCGCAAGAGTGAGTGCTTCAAGAAAGCAACCTCCAGAAAATAAGAGCAGCAGGTACATTCCTCAATCTATTAAAGAAAATAAAAGGAAGAATTAGCTAAAGGCAGTTAAGGCTACCAAAGATTGAGAGACGCAAAGCCTTCTAAGACAGAGTAGTAACGAAATTTACTAACAAGGAAATAAGAGAAAAGTTCTCCCAAAAGCTTGTGTCGACTGTCACTGATATATTAGAGGCAAAACTCTACAGAATAAACAAAAACATTGATGACAATCAGGAGAGTTAGAGGTAAATCATTGTGTAAAAAAGACATGCATCGACTACAATAATAAAAAAAAAACTACTAGGCAATGGCTATGGTTGCCGCGAATAAAATCATAGGCAAAGTGTAACATCGACCCCACATACAAACCTATCAAACAGAAGAGACGCAAGCTCGGACCCGAGAAGGCGCGAGCAGTAAACGATGAGGTCGAAAAATTGCTCAAAGCCGGTTCGATCACGGAGGTTTGATATCCGGACTGGCTAGCAAACCCGGTAGTCGTGAAGAAAAAGAATGGAAAGTGGAGGATCTGCGTCGACTTTACCGACCTGAACAAAGCTTGTCCCAAAGATAGCTTCCCACTACCACACATTGATCGGTTGGTAGAGGCAACTGCTGGCAACGAACTGTTATCCTTCATGGATGCCTTCTCGGGGTATAACCAATTCCTGATGCATCCGGATGATCGGGAAAAGACTTCGTTCATTACCGATCGAGGAATCTACTGCTATAAGGTCATGCCGTTCGGCCTCAAGAATGCGGGAGCCACCTATCAAAGAATTGTGAACCGCATGTTCGCCAGTCAGCTCGGGAAAACGATGGAAGTATATATTGACGATATGCTGGTTAAATCCCTGTACGCTGAGGACCACATATCGCATTTGTCAACGTGTTTCGACATTCTAAACGAGTACGGGATGAAACTCAATCCCGCCAAGTGCACCTTCGGCGTAACAGCAGGCGAGTTCCTGGGTTACATCGTCACTGAGCGCGGCATCGAAGCTAACCCTAAGCAAATATCTGCAGTTCTCGACCTACCTTCTCCGACTTCTAAACGGGAAGTGCAAAAACTCACAGGCCGAATCACCGCACTGAATAGGTTTATCTCCAGGTCGACGGATAAGTGCCTGCCCTTCTATCAGTTGTTGCGAGGTAATAAGCATCATACTTGGAACGCCGAGTGCGAAGACGCCTTCAAGCAGCTGAAAACGTATCTCTCGACTCCCCCCATCCTAGCTAAACCCGAGAACGGCGAGATGCTATTCTTATACATCGCAATTTCCGCATCGGCAGTCAGCAGTGTCCTGGTCCGCGAAGACAGGGGGAACAACGTCCCATATTCTATGTCAGCAAATCGCTAAGTGACGCCGAAGCCAGATACCCGACCTTAGAAAAATTGGCGCTTGCGGTGGTGACTTCTGCTCGGAAGCTTCGGCCATATTTCCCGATCACAGTCTTGACCGACCAGCCGCTCCGAACCATTTTGCACAGTCCAAGCCAGTCGGATCGACTCGCAAAATGGGCCGTCGAACTAAGCGAGTACGATATAGAATACAAGAATCGAACCAGCGCGAAGTCCCAAGTACTGGCCGATTTTTTTATCGAATTCCCTAAAGAATTCGTCGTCGAACAGCCGCCCCGCGAGCTATGGATTTTGCATGTCGACGGATCGTCATCCCACCGGGGATCAGGAGTCGGAATCCGCCTGAAGTCCCCAAACGGCAAGATCCTCGAACAATCGTTCCGCCTCGAGTTCCCAGCGTCCAACAATGAGGCCGAGTACGAAGCTCTACTTGCCGGACTGCGATTGGCTACAGAGCTCGGCGTGCGACATCTTCACGCCTTCTGCGATTCGCAGCTTGTCGCAAGTCAACTAAGTGGAGAATACATGACCAAGAACGAACGAATGGACGCGTACGTAACAACGACTAAGGCTCTCATCTCTAAATTTGAGACATTCGAGCTCACGAAAATCCCTCGCGGCGAGAACTCATCTGCTGACGCGTTAGCCGCCCTGGCATCCAGTTCCGACCCACATATGAAGAGAAGGATCCCGGTCGAAAGTATCTCAGAGCCAAGTATCAAAACCGCGCTGGAATGCAATGTTGCTACTCGCCGACGGAACTACGACGAAAGATCCCGATCTCAACGACCAGATGATGCTCAACAACCTTGATAACTTGGAAGAGCAACGCTTTTTAGCTCTCCTCCAAATTCAGAACTATCAAAACCTCGCTGCTCGGTACTACAACAAGAAAGTTCGAGGTCGGCACTTCGATGAAGGGGACCTCGTCTTACGCAAAGTGTTCCAGAACACTGAGGAGCTGAATGCAGGCAAACTGGGAACGAACTGGGAAGGTCCATATCAGATAATGAGAATCGTCAAGCCTGGGGTTTACGAACTCATGCAGCTCGACGGAACGCCGAGCCCGCGATCCTGGAACTCAGCCAATCTCAAACGATATTATTATTAAGTCCCAGACAACAAGCGCGCGGACCCAAAAAAAAAAAAAAAAAAAAAAAAAAAAAAACCAGTCCGGCTCCGGCCGAACTCACCCCTGTAAACTGAACTACGAGTGGCTTGATCCCTTGCAAAAGGGTACGTAGGCAGCTCGATTTCGAGTCCAGCTACAAATCCAATAAAAATCCATCTTTTTCATTTCTATCACTAACTCCACATATCGACTCCCCGGCCAGGAGATCGAACTAAGTATTCCCCACGAATACAATCTCAAAAGCCGAGATCCGTCTCGCCCGCACCCCAATGGTGCCCACTATTCAAAGCCGGAGCCCAACCCGCACTCACTCTTTCGAACAGCAATCCGCCAACCGCGATTCAAGTTCAAAGAGTTTCCCGAGTTCGTCCGCATCGTCACAATAACATCACGAACTCCAAACTTAATCAAAACAAGCCGAACTCCCAACAGTCCGCAATGAAATGTCAAAAGAAAATTCTAAGTAAAAGTCGAGATAAAGGGAAACCATGTTCATTTCATTAAAATATCCGAATTTGCCGAACTAGACGGCAACAAGTACAACGCCTAAAAACGGCGGTCAAAATAAAATACTAAGTAAAAAACCCGAGCCACGCGGGCAGAATAGTCTTTACAACATCAAAATAAAAACAAGAAAAGAAAACTAAGGAAAGGATGAATCATTGACGAGCAACGGACGCCGGACTCTTGAGACTTGCTGCCCGATCAGCCGAGATTGACTTGGAGTTCGAGCCGAACTGATCCAAGCCCTCTGGAACCTGCGTTCCCGGTGGAAGCACAATCCTCGGGATGAGGTCGTCGTCGCTCGGAAGGAGGAAGTCTTCGTTCTTTAACCGCGGAAGGGGAATGTCATCGACCTCCCTCGTGCAATTCTTAACCCTCCGCCCGTACATCTCCACGATGTGAGGCGGGACGATCATGTTGTGCTCCCTCCTGAGGAAGTCGCAGAAGCCGACCAGAGCGGTCGCCTGGTTGAGTTTGAGGAATGGCGCCTTCCGGAGTTCGGACTTGTCCATGAAGTCCTTCATCTTGGAGAGCTTCCCTTCGTACTTGCCTCTAAGGGCGGCCAGCATCTTCCTGCTCTTCGACTCGGCGTCTCGATACCTCCGCCTCTCGAGCTCCCTGGTCTTGAACGACTTGGACAGAGCGTCCACATCCCCCTCCAGTTCGACAGTCCGCTTCATCAGGGCCTCGACTTGCTCCTTCAAAGCCGCGTTCTCCTTCTCCTTTTCAGAAAAGGCCAGCACAGCAGCCTCGTACCTCTCCTTTTCGTCCCGGTACGACGTTTCCAGAGACGCCCTCTCAGCAGCGATCTCAGCATTGATCCCCCTCAACCTGTCGACCTCGGAGTCGTACTCGCGAACGAGCTCGTTGGTATCACAGACGAGCTGAAAATGGAAATCAAAATCAGACATTCCAAGATAAAAAACGTCTAAGTACTCGAGACAAAGAGAAACTTACGGCAGAGGCAGATCTCGCGACCCGAGCGTAAGACTTCGGGCGGAAGAGGTCTTTGGTCTCAGGCATTGGAGACGAAGCTGGCACGATCTGCCTGAAGAGCTCGGCGCAGGCAGACGAGTCGTCGAAGAAAGACCGGTCCTTGTTGTACTTGAGCCAGACTGAGAAGGAGGATGAGTCAGAGGTCCGACGCCTCTTGGACGACCTCGGGTTCTCGGTATCAGCAGCCGGATCCGCTGGAGGAACCTGAGAAGCGTTAGGTGATTCGTGAAGGACCAGAGTCCCCTCACTCACAGCCGCCTCGGGATCACCACCCCTCCTCCGAGACGATTTCTTCGAGGACTTGCCCTTCTTCCTCCGGGCGCGGTCGGCAATGGTGAGCTCGTCCTCATCCTGCTCACCAATTTCCCCATCCTCCATTTGGGGCTGAGGAATTGCCTCAGGAACACTAGTTCCCGCCTCGTCGCCCTCCGGTTCCGCAACCGGGATCAGAGGATCAACCAGGCCAACGGCATTGTCGACCTCGTCCCCGGCAGCAGCTCCAACGCCATCACCGGCCTCGTTCCCGTCGAGACCGACGATATCGATCGGGGCATTATCATCTTCCTCGTCAGCCCCAAAATTCTTCATGGGAATATCTGATCTGTCGAACGCCATCCTTCTCCGACTTGACTTGCTGATTTTCTTCGTTTTCTTCTTCTTCGGTACCGGCCTCGACGAGCTGGGTTCAGCCCTTGATTTGGCTACAAAAAGACAAGTATGATTACCACAACCCGTACAGATAAGAAATAACGACTTCAGAGTAAGTCAAGGATTTATACCTCTGTCTTGAGCTCTCTTTATCCGGCGATCGATCTTCTCCCGATACGCTAGTGGCCAACGGCGATGACCAGCGATACTAAGCTGCTTCGCTAGGTCGGACGTAAGAGAGCGTTGGATAAACCCTGGAACGTGGCGATCTACATAAGCATAAAAACGTTTGTTAGTACCGACCAAAAAACAGAGGAGTTAACCGTGAGATATGTACCGAAATCGACACTCCAGCCAGTCCGGAACGTGCTCTCCGGATTCTCAGCAGATACCGAATCCACGCGAACAAAGAAGTAGTTTTGATCCCAGTTCGAAAACTTGCTAGCCTTGTTCCCAGTCACCAGGTCGAACTTCGGGTTGCAATTCACCGACAGAAACCAACTCTTCGCCGCCGAGACCTTCATAATAAAGAGCTCCTCGAATTGGGCCACGTTGATGTGAGCCCGGATGTCGCGCCCGAGCTGGAGAATCCCGACAAAATTCACTATTAACGCGGGCTGAAGCTGCAAGATCGCGCAGCCGCGACGATGGCAGTAAGCGAACAACAAGCGAGGAAGGGGAAATTTCAACCCGGCCTCGCGGAAATAGGCTTCGTAGACGCAGATGAAGTCCTCGGGTGCATCCCACGGGCGCTTATCCAGTTCGGGAACCTGGATAATGATTCCGGGAGGAGCTTCGCCGATCAGCATAGCAGCCTGAACTGTCTTCGGAGATGACAATGTGGATTTTACCGGGGCGCATATACACGGCCGATCCGCGATCGGCATCATGTCGTCATCATTGGGATCCTGCGCTCCTCCATCCCCGACCTTGCACAGTGGAGCGTCTTTGTCTGTCTTCACGTCAGGCTCCCGTCCTAGGACCAAATCAGCAGGAACTTGGCCCTCAAGCTCGCGGAGATTTTGATCCATCCGTTCCGGAGCCCGAATCGGAACTCGGCTACCAGAGCCGACCTCGACGACCCGTGAGTTCTTCCGAACCAGAGAAGCATTTGAGGAATGCTCCGTAGATCCCGAGCTCATGATCTCGGTAGAAGTTTCCTCCCTGCGGTGTTCGGGAAGAATCGCGGCCTCGAAATTGGAAGAAGAGTCGGAAGACATCGTCGGAGAGCTCGAGAGAATGATCGTCGACGAGAGAGCACGGCGGACGGCGACCGGAAATTCTAGAGAGAGAAAGAAGAAAATTTAGAGAGAAGGGAGAGCAAATACCTTAGCAGTAGAAGCGAAAGTAGGAAATGGGGAGAGCTGAACCCTATTAATAGAAGAAGAGCGAATCATTGCGACTTCTCGAGTTCCGCGCCTCGTAACGTCTCGATTTCCCGCCTAAATCGACGCGTCTTTTCAGTTCCCCGCAAGCGAAAATACTAAAGTACCCTTGCCAAGACACCAAGGATGACGGAGGGTGTAAGACGAGAGCTCAACGTCACCGACCTCGGCCTATAACCGATCCAATAATTCGGCAAAAGTCAGTTAGGTCCATTTACCGAACTGGGGGGGGGGCATACTGTTGGTGGTACGCTCCGCTCTCCGGTTCGGACCGGTTAAAGACCGAGACCGGCCCAATTGACCCCGGTTTACAATGGTCTTAGCCGAAATGGGTCTGGCCTGACGAGCGCGGCCCATAAGAAAGAAGCCCAGCGACGAGAGGCGGTGAGAGCTGAACGAGAAGCCCTAGAACGTCTCCTCACTCATGTACTATAAATAGTAGAATTGTTACTGTAGAAAAGGATTTTTCGAACCCAGAGAATAGAGACCTGAATATTGTATCGAGTTCGTCGAGAGACCTCCGAATTGAACAAACTGTAATTGAGAATTTAATAAAATCTAATCAACTTAATCTTTTTCGAACTCAAATTACCGAACCGACCTCGAACAGTTGAATATCGTAATCAACAATTGGCGTCCACCGTGGGGCCGGTTCGGTAATCGGCCAGGACGACATGACAAATGATGATAGACAACCGACCTCAGTCCAGGTCGGGAGTCAGATGACCTGTGCAGATGAGACCACCCAGGTCGGAGGACCTGCGGGCCAGGTCGGAGGGCCTATGGAGGAACACGAGCGCAGCCCCGCACAACCCCAACCGGAAGCGCAACAAATCAGGGCGGAGCCGAGCTCAAGCGCCGAGGCTCACCAAACCTCACCAAACCGAACTCAAGCTGCCTTCGATCCAACTGCGCTTATGAACGCCTTCGCCGCGCAGATGCAAGAGTTGGTCAGAAGCAACGACGCAAAGTTCGCAACCCTCACCGCACAGATCTCCAACCTACAGCAAGAGAGTCCGATTAGAAGACGGAACCTCTTTAGTGATTTCCAAGAAGAGCGAGATCTGCAGTGCACAGTGGCGTGGTCAGTAGTTCAGCAACACCAGCGGACAGAGAGCCCATCTCAGCACGTGCGAGCTCAACCGACAGCGCGCGACCTGGAAATCAAGCGGATGCAGGCTCAACTGCGAGAGATCAGTTCAAAGTTTCACCAAGCCACCAGCTCGGCACCCGAAATCGACCGCGTAATCCAGGAAGCACAGAAAACACCGTTCACTTCCCGGATCACCAACATCCCCGTCCCAAACTTAGAAAAGTTTAAGCTACGATCGTACGAGGGGAACTCCGATCCGAGACATTTCCTTACCTCATTCAGAATCGTAATTAACCGACTGAAGTTCACCTCAGCCGAACAGAAGGACGCGGTTCAATGCCAGTTGTTTGTCGAACACCTCGAAGTTATAGCTCTAGATTGGTTTTCAAGCTTGGAAGCCGATTCCATCGACAACTACAAGGAACTCTCGACTAAGTTCGCAAAACATTTCTCGATGTTTATCGGGCAGAAAACTCGTAACTCCGAGCTGTGGGAGATATCACAGGGTGAGAATGAGTCGCTCGGAGATTTCATGGCACGTTTCAAACAGATCGTAGCACACTGTACGGTGGACGATGAAGCCGCCTCGAAGCTCTGTATCAGAACATGGTACAAATCCCCCTTTCACAAAGAGCTTCGCAGGAACAGACCGCTCACCCTCGAGGACGCGCTTCATAAGTCAAACATCTTCATCACGGCAGTATTCAACGACGAAGCCAGGACAAACGCCAACCCCCAAAGAGAGCTCGGAAACGAAGGTCCAGCCCGGGAAATCACGCGGAGTAGTGAACCAGGCAGGACCGTCGAACCAAAGGACAAGACGACCTCCAAAATCTTGGAACACGTGGCACAAGGAGGACGACACGCCGCTGAGTGAACGTTTTTGCGAGTATCACGAGCGATATGGGCATAGCACAGAGGAATGCCGACATTTTGAGGGACTTCTTACTTCAACAGTTCCGCAAGGGCGAGATCGACACCGCAGATTTGCCCAAACCAGGACCTCGGCGGCCGAACATGCGACCAAACAAACCTGGCAATCAAGAAGCCGCTTAGGCAGCCGACTCTGATGAAGAGCAGGTTGCTCCCCCTAAACGAGATCGCGAAGCACCTAATAGAGAGGCGTACGTCCCCAAAACCAGGAAGAAGGTCAATATGATTATGGGAGCCCTCGAATCATGCAAATACTCCGTCCGAGCCCTCAAAGAATATAGCCGGCAGGCATCGAGTTCGCAGCCCCAAACGACGGTAACAACCGTGCCGCTGTTGTTTACTGAAGCTGACCTGCGGGGAATGCACATGCCTCACAATGATTGCCTCGTTGTCGAACTCCAGCTCAGAGATGTCAAAGTAAGCAGAATATTAATCGACACAGGGAGCTCGGTAAACGTCATATTCAAAGAAACATTAAAGAATATGGATTTTCCGGACTCCGAGATCAAGCCTTACATGGAATCATTGACCGGGTTCACCGGAGAGAAAACAAGAACAGTAGGAACAGTGAAGATACCCATCTATGTCGGTGGGTCGGCCCGAATGATCAAGTTTTTGGTCCTCAACAAACCGGCGATATATAATGCAATTTTGGGAACGCCCTGGCTATTCGACATGAGGGCCGTCGCTTCAACGTTCCATCAGTGCGTCAAATTCCCGACCCCGTCAGGGATTTTCACCCTCAAAGGAAGCCAGACCGCGTCCCGATTATGCCATCTCACCGAATGCAAACTAAGTCTCGCACGGACGTGCGTCATAAGCCCCTTTCAGGAAGGTCGTGCGGCCGCAGAGAGCCAGTTCGGTCCACCCAAACAGAACCAAGTTGACCAAGTCTGCATCGATCAGACAAATCCAGAAAAGTGTGTCGGCATAGGGGCCGAGCTCGACAACAGTATCCGGGAAGCACTCATCAGTTTCCTCCAGAAGAACGTCTTCACATTCGCATGGAATATCAGCGACATGCCCGGAATCAATCCCGACATCACTTGCCACGAGCTAAACATCGACCCCACATACAAACCTATCAAACAGAAGAGACGCAAGCTCGGACCCGAGAAGGCGCGAGCAGTAAACGATGAGGTCGAAAAATTGCTCAAAGCCGGTTCGATCACGGAGGTTCGATATCCGGACTGGCTAGCAAACCCGGTAGTCGTGAAGAAAAAGAATGGAAAGTGGAGGATCTGCGTCGACTTTACCGACCTGAACAAAGCTTGTCCCAAAGATAGCTTCCCACTACCACACATTGATCGGTTGGTAGAGGCAACTGCTGGCAACGAACTGTTATCCTTTATGGATGCCTTCTCGGGGTATAACCAAATCCTGATGCATCCGGATGATCGGGAAAAGACTTTGTTCATTACCGATCGAGGAATCTACTGCTATAAGGTCATGCCGTTCGGCCTCAAGAATGCGGGAGCCACCTACCTTCTCCGACTTCTAAACGGGAAGTGCAAAAACTCACAGGCCGAATCGCCGCACTGAATAGGTTTATCTCCAGGTCGACGGATAAGTGCCTGCCCTTCTATCAGTTGTTGCGAGGTAATAAGCATCATACTTGGAACGCCGAGTGCGAAGACGCCTTCAAGAAGCTGAAAACGTATCTCTCGACTCCCCCCATCCTAGCTAAACCCGAGAACGGCGAGATGCTATTCTTATACATTGCAATTTCCGCATCGGCAGTCAGCAGTGTCCTGGTCCGCGAAGACAGGGGGGAACAACGTCCCATATTCTATGTCAGCAAATCGCTAAGTGACGCCGAGGCCAGATACCCGACCTTAGAAAAACTGGCGCTTGCGGTGGTGACTTCTGCTCGGAAGCTTCGACCATATTTCCAGTCTCATTCGATCACAGTCTTGACCGACCAGCCGCTCCGAACCATTTTGCACAGTCCAAGCCAGTCGGGTCGACTCGCAAAATGGGCCGTCGAACTAAGCGAGTACGATATAGAATACAAGAATCGAACCAGCGCGAAGTCCCAAGTACTGGCCGATTTTCTGATCGAACTCCCTAAAGAATTCGTCGTCGATCAGCCGCCCCGCGAGCTATGGATTTTGCATGTCGACGGATCGTCATCCCACCGGGGATCAGGAGTCGGAATCCGCCTGAAGTCCCCAAACGGCGAGATCCTCGAACAATGAGGCCGAGTACGAAGCTCTACTTGCCGGACTGCGATTGGCTACAGAGCTCGGCGTGCGACATCTTCACGCCTTCTGCGATTCGCAGCTTGTCGCAAGTTAACTAAGTGGAGAATACACGACCAAGAACGAACGAATGGATGCGTACGTAACAACGACTAAGGCTCTCATCTCTAAATTTGAGATATTCGAGCTCACGAAAAATCCCTCGCGGCGAGAACTCATCTGCTGACGCGTTAGCCTCCCTGGCATCCAGTTCCGACCCGCATATGAAGAGAAGGATCCTGGTCGAAAGTATCTCAGAGCCAAGTATCAAAACCGCGCTGGAATGCAATGTTGCTACTCGCCGACGGAACTACGACGAAAATCTGACCTTGGTAAGTACACAAAACAGGAACTCGACCCGAACGAACGAGAATGCCGAGCAGGAACTTAAGGAAAATGCCGAGCAGGCTCTAGAAGACCTAGCCGCCGATCATGACTTCGAGCACATAACCGAAGGAATCCACAGTCCATCAACTAGCGAAAACCAGGACAGCGAATCCGCCGAAGATTGGACAGCCGAACTGCGAGAATACCTCCTCAACGGCAAAGTCCCTGACGACAAATGGGCTGCTCGCCGTCTTAAAGTCCGGGCTGCCCATTACACAATGCACAAAGATAAGCTATTCCGTTGGAGTGCATCTGGAGTACTCCTGGCCTGCGTTTCCGGGAATGATACAGTCGAAATCATGCGCGAAATCCACGAAGGGTCCGGCGGCAATCACTCCGGAGGTCGATCTCTTGCTCTGAAAATCAAAAAAGCAGGCTATTTCAGGCCGACGATGAACGCGGACTGCAAAAAGTTTGTCATGAAATGCGATAAGTGCCAACGCCACGGTCCAATGATTAACGTACCGACCGAGCTGCTACAAACCAGTACGGCCCCTAACCCGTTTATGCGGTGGGCTATGGACATCGTTGGCCCTTTATGCCGATCAATAAGTCAAAAGCAGTATATCTTGATTATGACCGACTACTTCACAAAATGGGTCGAGGCCGAAGCATACTCGGAGATTACCGCACTGGACGTACAAAAATTCGTCTGGAAGTATATCATTTGCCGACACAGGGTCCCGCACGAGATCGTCACGGACAACGGACCACAATTTATTGCGGGGACATTTAATGAGTGGTGCGCTAAGTTCAAAATTCGCCTTAGTTTCTCTACCCCGCGATATCCGCAAGGCAATGGCCAGGCCGAGGCAACCAACAAGACAATCCTGGACGGCATAAAGAAACGTCTCGAGGCTAAGAAAGGTACCAGGGCAGACGAGCTCGACGGAGTCTTATGGTCGCACCGAACTACTCCCAGACGATCGACCGGACAGTCACCTTTTTCCTTAGCGTACGGACTCGAAGCCCTCTGCCCGGCAGAAGTGAGTATTCCAACCTTAAGGTACTCAGTGCTCCCCGAAGATCCCGATCTCAACGACCAGATGATGCTCAACAACCTTGATAACTTGGAAGAGCAACGCTGTTTAGCTCTCCTCCGAATTCAGAACTATCAAAACCTCGCTGCTCGGTACTACAACAAGAAAGTTCGAGGTCGGCACTTCGATGAAGGCGACCTCGTCTTACGCAAAGTATTCCAGAACACTGAGGAGCTGAATGCAGGCAAACTGGGAACGAACTGGGAAGGTCCATATCAGATAATGAGAATCGTCAAGCCTGGGGTTTACGAACTCATGCAGCTCGACAGAACGCCGAGCCCGCGATCCTGGAACTCAGCCAATCTCAAACGATATTATTATTAAGTCCCAGCCAACAAGAGCGCGGACCCAAAAAAAAAAAAAAAAAAAAAAAAAAAAAAAACCAGTCCGGCTCCGGCCGAACTCACCCCTGTAAACTGAACTACGAGTGGCTTAATCCCTTGCAAAAGGGTACGTAGGCAGCTCGATTTCGAGTCCAGCTAAAAATCCAATAAAAATCCATCTTTTTCATTTCTATCACTAACTCCACATATCGACTCCCCGGCCAGGAGATCAAACTAAGTATTCCCTACGAATACAATCTCAAAAGCCGAGATCCGTCTCGCCCGCACCCCCATGGTGCCCACTATTCAAAGCCGGAGCCCAACCTGCACTCACTCTTTCGAACAGCAATCCGCCAACCGCGATTCAAGTTCAAAGAGTTTCCCGAGTTCGTCCGCATCGTCACAATAACATCACGAACTCCAAACTTAATCAAAACAAGCCAAACTCCCAAAAGTCCGCAATGAAATGTCAAAAGAAAATTCTAAGTAAAAGTCGAGATAAAGGGAAACCATGTTCATTTCATTAAAATATCCGAATTTGCCGAACTAGACGGCAACAAGTAGAACCCGAGCCACGCGGGCAGAATAGTCTTTACAACATCAAAATAAAAACAAGAAAAGAAAACTAAGGAAAGGATGAATCATTGACGAGCAACGGACGCCGGACTCTTGAGACTTGCTGCCCGATCAGCCGAGATCGACTTGGAGTTCGAGCCGAACTGATCCAAGCCCTCTGGAACCTGTGTCCCCGGTGGAAGCACAATCCTCGGGATGAGGTCGTCGTCGCTCGGAAGGAGGAAGTCTTCGTTCTCGAACCGCGGAAGGGGAATGTCATCGACCTCCCTCGTGCAATTCTTAACCCTCCGTCCGTACATCTACACGATGTGAGGCGGGACGATCATGTTGTGCTCCCTCCTGAGGAAGTCGCAGAAGCCGACCAGAGCGGTCGCCTGGTTGAGTTTGAGGAATGGCGCCTTCCGGAGTTCGGACTTGTCCATGAAGTCCTTCATCTTGGAGAGCTTCCCTTCGCACTTGCCTCTAAGGGCGGCCAGCATCTTCCTGCTCTTCGACTTGGCGTCCCGATACCTCTGCCTCTCGAGCTCGCTGGTCTTGAACGACTTGGACAGAGCGTCCACATCCCCCTCCAGTTCGACAGTCCGCTTCATCAGGGCCTCGACTTGCTCCTTCAAAGCCGTGTTCTCCTTCTAATGCCAGCACAGCAGCCTCGTACCTCTCCTTTTCGTCCCGGTTCGACGTTTCCAGAGACGCCTTCTCAGCAGCGATCTCAGCATTTATCCCCCTCAACCTCTCGACCTCGGAGTCGTACTTGCGAACGAGCTCGTTGGTATCACAGACGAGCTGAAAATGGAAATCAAAATCAGACATTCCAAGATAAAAAACGTCTAAGTACTCGAGACAAAGAGAAACTTACGGCAGAGGCAGATCTCGCGACCCGAGCGTAAGACTTCGGGCGGAAGAGGTCTTTGGTCTCAGGCATTGGAGACGAAGCCGGCACGATCTGCCTGAAGAGCTCGGTGCAGGCAGACGAGTCGTCGAAGAAAGACCGGTCCTTGTTATACTTGAGCCGGACTGAGAAGGAGGATGAGTCAGAGGTCCGACGCCTCTTGGACGACCTCGGGTTCTCGGTATCAGCAGCCGGATCCGCTAGAGGAACCTGAGAGGCGTTAGGTGATTCGTGAAGGACCAGAGTCCCCTCACTCACAGCCGCCTCGGGATCACCACCCCTCCTCCGAGACGACTTCTTCGAGGACTTACCCTTCTTCCTCCGGGCGTGGTCGGTAATGGTGAGCTCGTCCTCATCCTGCTCACCAATTTCCCTTTCCTCTATTTGGGGCTGAGGAATCGCCTCAGGAACACTAGTTCCCGCCTCGTCGCCCTCCGGTTCCGCAACCGGGATCAGAGGATCAACCGAGCCGACCGGGACATTGTCGACCTTGTCCCCGACAGCGGCTCCAACGCCATCACCGGCCTCGTTCCCGTCGAGACCGACGATATCGATCGGGGCATTATCATCTTCCTCGTCAGCCCCAAAATTCATCATGGGAATATCTGATCTGTCGAACGTCATCCTACTCCGACTTGACTTGCTGATTTTCTTCGTTTTCTTCTTCTTCGGTACCGGCCTCGACGAGCTGGGTTCAGCCCTTGATTTGGCTACAAAAAGACAAGTATGATTACCACAACCCGTACAGATAAGAAATAACGACTTCAGAGTAAGTCAAGGATTTATACCTCTGTCTTGAGCTCTCTTTATCCGGCGATCGATCTTCTCCCGATACGCTAGTGGCCAACGGCGATGACCAGTGATACTAAGCTGCTTCGCTAGGTCGGATGTAAGAGAGCGTTGGATAAACCCTGGAATGTGGCGATCTACATAAGCATAAAAACGTTTGTTAGTACCGACCAAAAAACAGAGGAGTTAACCGTGAGATATGTACCGAAATCGACACTCCAGCCAGTCCGGAACGTGCTCTCCGGATTCTCAGCAGATACCGAATCCACGCGAACAAAGAAGTAGTTTTGATCCCAGT